TGACTTTAACCCTTAGCAACTGAAAAATACTGAGCTTCATTTGGAGTTACATGTGAAGTATAACATGCAGTTCACAAGTTCTTGCTCTTAGCAAGAAAACGAATCAAGATTCAAAACCACTCTGCAGTGACATTACTGAAAGCACGGAAATGGGAATTCATCCCTTGCAGACCCCTCAAAATCCAGTGTTGATCATTCAGAGCCAATGGGATCCCATAGATCATGGTTATTGGCAGGGCTTAATTCTGACGCTGTCTCTGTAGGGTGGGTATCTTAATCAAAGAACCTGGGTTAGTAGTACATTTTAATTTGTGATGTCAAACAAAAAGTGGAAGAATAGAAAGAAGCAGGAAAAACAAAAGGAGGTTAGCCAGATGTAACAAACTATGTAAGTAACTGGCACTTTGAATAAGCAGGTCACATTTTGAGAGGCTGCTTCTACCACTGTAATGGAAGTGCTTGGGTGTTGCTAACTCTTACAAGGGAAAAACATCCAGTTGGCTCATTCCCTTTTCCAGTGAGAGTGGTAGTAAATACTGTTTCAGCTCCACTGCCCCAGAGGAAGGGAACATTTGGGCAGTATGGTGGATCTGTTTATCTGTCCTATGACTGCTTTTGGAAGCAGTCAGTACAGGACAGAAACTAATGTCTGGATGCAAAACTTCCATACTTGAAACTCAACTTCATCAGTGTCAAAGCCACACAATTCTACTTCCCTTCCTTGTCCTTTCTCTGAAAAAAAGAATATGGGCAAGGACCAGGTCTATGCTAGTGTCGTGGAGATGAAATGAGCACTGGGGACATAAAGCAAAAAAAACAGAACACTAAGCCAAAAATCTAAAATCAAAAGATAAGCCTAAGTCATGTCACAAAGGTCATTTCAGAGCTAGAAAGGGACAGCTTGTCTTTACCTCTGAGGACCTTAAGAAAAACGTATCATGGCTTCTAGATCTACCACACATTCTTCTTTCTTCTTCCTGGCATTTAAGGCCCTTGGTTTCATTATTTCAGGCAGCAAATTCTCACAATGGGATCCTCCTATGTTACTTGCCCCGGTTATATCAGTTTTCAGGGTTGCACACCCAGACTGCAATATAAATAAGAATGGCATAGGGCCGGCCCGGTGGCGCACTGTAGCAGTGCGCCGCTTGGGAGCGTGGCGGCGCTCCCGCCAAGGGTTCGGATCCCACATACAGACCGGCCGCTCACTGGCTGAGAGAGGTGCGAGCGCAACACCAAGGGTTGCAATCCGTTGCCGGTCATGACAAAAAAAAAAAAAAAAAAAGAAAGGCATAGAGTCCATTAAGGGAAAGGGGGGAAAATGTATCATGGCTTCTAGATCTACCACACATTCTTCTTTCTTCTTCCTGGCATTTAAGGCCCTTGGTTTCATTATTTCAGGCAGCAAATTCTCACAATGGGATCCTCCTGTGTTACCAGCCCTGGTAATATCAGTTTTCAGGGTTGCACACCCAGACTGCAATATAAATAAGAATGGCACAGAGTCCATTAAGGGAAAGTGGGGAAAACGCAATAAACATCTCTCCAGAAAAGTTTCCTGCTTCCCTTTTTGTTGTATCCCAGGGAACGGAAGAAGTGGGAAATAATCTTTGTGCTTCACATACCTGTAAAATATAATACTTTCTAAATGTATAGATTGCAAACTCAGTTTAGGGTCTAAAATTCATGTATTTCTTTAGTTTTCCAATTCTTACTTATCATTTACTAAGTAAAATGATGACAACTACTTTAGATCTAAAGCTGTATGACTGCATGAATACGTAACTCTCATCTGGAGTATATGCATCTCTCTAGCTTAAAAAGAAAAAGAAAATATACTTGCTGCAGATATTTTGTCTACTGACCAAAGCAACACACTATGTACTAATAGCTAGAAAATATTGCCTCATAAAGTGAGAAAACTCTAAGAAATACAAAAAGCAGTCTCAAACTCCAACTGCCACTTCCAGAAGGTGTGTTACTAAAGGCATAAATGAGAATAAGTTCCCCTGAGTAAGAATGACACTCTCTAAAACAAAACGAAGAGGAAAAGCAAAGTTAGAGAATATTAAGAGAAAACTTAAATATTATAAATGGTCAGATGTTAAGAGAAAGATTAATTCTTAGGAAAGAGCCAAAATAGGAAATTCTGGGTAACTGTATCTGTGGGATGAAAAGCATTGTCCTAAACTAACATATCCTTCTTAATTACAACAAACAATAAAATATAATAGATTAGCATATGCCTACTAGAAGTCAATACAGATGATACATGCTAAACAAAATGTAACAAGCAGACAGCATGTTCCAAACAAATTTATACTTGAAAGATTTCTGGGCTGGCCCGTGGCTCACTTGGAAGAGTGTGGTACTGATAACACCAAGCCACAGGTTCTGATCCCTATATAGGGATGGCCGGTTAGCTCACTTGGGAGAGCGTGGTGCTGACAACATCAAGTCAAGGGTTAAGATCCCCTTACCAGTCATCTTTTTTTTTAAAAAAAAAAAAGAAAGAAAGAAAGATTTCTATGAATTAAAATTTGTAAACACGCTAAGGGAATTCATTATTTAGAGAACTCTGAAGCTAAATTCTTCACCAAAGCAAAGAAACATGTATAAAGTATGTAGTCACTTCTCTAATCTGTCTGGTGTATATTCCCTTAAATTCAAATATTAGGTAAAGTAAGGCAACTCACAGAACAAATACAAATAGCTACAACACATTAGAAAAATATGTTCCACTTACCAATAACCCAGGAGATGGAAATTGAAAAGAGAAGCCCTTTTTCACCAACCAGATTGGCAAAAATGTAAAAGATTTATATTATCCAATATCTTCACTGTGAAGAGGGAAGGGAAAGGTGCATTCTCATATTAATACCGAGAATGTAAATTGGAACCCTCCTGGAGAGCAACTCAGCAGTACTCATTAAAAGTTAAGTACACACACACACTTCTAGGTATCTATGGTAGAAATACCTATACTAGTGCCCAAGGATGTTCCTGACAGCAATACTTGTACTAGTAGGAACCTAGTAACAATTAAAATACCCATCAATAGAGTGCATAAATTGGATACATCCACACAGGCAACCACTAAATAGAATAAGGCAGAACTGATGTTTTGACATGGAAGGATATCCACTATATACTGCTGAGTGAAAAAACAAGAGGCAGAATGATATAAAACTTTAGTCTCTTCTTAAAAACTAAGTATGTGTGAGTGAATGAATGAATAGATGTTTTAAACAGAAGTTATCCCTGGAGATGGAAAGAGAGAAGGGTATACAATTTTACTTTTTATTTTATACAGTATATTTTTATAATTTAGGTAAAAAGATGTGAGACTATTAATCTACTGATCCACCAAAAACTCCACAGATCTTCTCTGGAGGAAACAGTGCAGAACCCCCTTGTAGCCTAATAGTACGGCCACTCTGATTTCACCAACAAAAGCTGCTAAGATGAGCAGGTTTAAGAAAGACCAACCTTATTCTGAATCATTTATATGAAGGAAATAATATAGTTTTAAAAGCATAACCACTTTCTCCTGGACAAGTTAATATTATTTGAGAAAATTCAGTAAATATTTTTCTTATAAATTTTCGTAGGTCCCCACCCAAACCAGAAACATTACCAAAAATAACACTAGATGTGAATCCCATTAGCCCAGAATCTTACATCTTTAATCTTCACATCTTTAAACTTCCTAAAATCATATTCAAGCCTAGACCCAAATCTCATCTACAAACTTTGAGAACTAGAGAACTAGAAAGGGCAACATCTTCCTTTCATCTTTTATAGAGAATGGTGCAACACACCTTTCTCTTTATTTTTTTTAAAAGGAATATCTCTTGATTTTCAAATGTAACTCTAAAAATGATTTATTCAACAGAGGTTTTAAGCACATCTTGAAATAAGAAAGGTGACAGAATATTAATGAATAATCATAACATAAAATATCCTCATCTACAATATGTTTAGAAAATGTATATAAGAAACAAGTTTGCAAACTTGAAGTTTTTAAAAGGTAACCAACTTACTAGCACAATTTCAAAGTTGTAAAAAGTATACACAGTTTCCTTCTCTCTCTTTTTCTCTCCCTCTCTCTAATGCACTTAATATTAAACAGTGTTAGAGTAATATTTTCCAGGCTAGAATGTACTTTCCACTTGCCCTAATAATAAACCTATGCCCAATGGGAAATGTAACCAGAACTAAATAAATATAATATAGACAATGAGCAGGACAGACAGAAAGTGAATTAATGAACCTGCAATGCCTTCAGAGCTATAAATTGTTTTGTTTGTTTTATTTAAACAAATAGAATTGAGATTATGAAAATTTAAGTATTTGATGTGTGAAATGCAACTACAGATCAGAGAGGGAAACTACAAATGCAATGGATAATATCATATACATCGTCAGATATTTAAACTGAAGAAAAAGTGACACAGAGTCAAAATGTAGCAATCAGTCATCAAATCATCTACATAATTTTAAAATGTGTAAACTTTGTTCTGGATGACAATCAGTAATCTAAACAAAACAAAAAACTCTTACTAGAATAATGTATGGCTTAAAATTAGTTGCAATGAGTCCATCCCAATGCATAGGTTAAAAGAGATGAAAAATAAACACAAAAAGGAAGAACAAGAAAGAAAAGCCACATGAGTACAAAGAGATTCCTTTTTTTTCTTAACACCCACACAAAGACAGCAGTTTCTTACAAGAATGTTCTTGGCAAAATATAACATTACAGGAAGGCTTTTATTTTTTTTTCAATGAGAAAAAGACAGCTCTATATGCAGATTAGTAGGCAATGCTGTGCGATTTTTTTTTAAAGGCCCAAATTTACAGTCCTCATATTTTGAAAATATTATCTAAGTAACATATTTTTAGATCACACACACAAAAAAAAGATGACTAGAAATACTGTTCCTGTTTGGGATGCCGATTTCATGTTGTACTTGAAAATAAAATCCAAGGTGGCAGCTTACCTTGGCACTGGAAGCCTTGTTTCCCAAACCCCCTGAAAAACAGAAACAAAAACAAAATATCTTAATATATTGTGTTGGATACCATATTTTAAGCAAGTTATGTGACAAAGTATTCTACAGAGTTAAAGGGATAAAAGGTTTGTAGGTGAAACTCAATGATTTGATAAGAAAAATATGCCTAAATATCTAGTCATATTACTGTGTAAATTTAACTTTGAAAAAAAATCTATCTTGCCTATAAAGGATCACTGAACTATTTCAATGTACCAAGTTTCTTTCCTATTTTTTTACACTATGCTATTAATACTTAAATTTCAAGACAGGAATATGACTGTATACTGAAAGTTGTCAGCTACAATACTCAAGTAACAAAAAAGGAGATGATGGTTTAAAAAAAAAAAAAAAGTGGCTTAATTTTGTTCCTGAAGACCAATTGAAAAGTGTTTTTTCTCCCTAAAGACAACTAAAAAGTGGCTTGTTTGTTTAAAATATTATGTGTCTACAAACTGCGAAACAGCACCACTCTTAACATTTAATTTTGTCTTAAGGAACCAGGTTTTACAAAATATCATTCCTACTATTTGTGTTTGAGTTTATCGTAATCTAATTTTTATTGAGAACCAACAGCATTCAAAGCACATACACAGGCTATTTTGTTCTTGTAAATGACTTTAGAGAACTTAGTCTGTAAGCAGAGACTCATGACATGAATATTCAATTGCAAATATTATTCCACTAGGATGAAATGCATAAAATGTTCTAGGTTGTTCCTCATAATCTCTTGCTTTACATAGCATTTTAAATTTACAACGCACTTCACATACCTTTATACTTAATTTAGAGTCATTTCCCCCAAAACAATACCTAAATCCAGATATTTAGCTTTAAAATATCAGTGCTTTAATATTGAAATAAAACTTATAAATCAAGGAACCATAGAAGTTATAATGAAAGAAAACTGAAAAATTTTAAAAACTGCAAGACAATCCTGGGGGATGTTTTCCTGGAACTTCCAACTGGTTGCTTTACAATTAAGTGGAGAAGTGTTGCAGGGATTACGTGGGGAGAGAGAAACCTTTATTTTCAACTTCACAACATACCTGGTGACCTGAGTGCCTCACCAGTTCACCAGGGGCTGATCCTGTAAGGCAACTGATAGTGGAAATATATCAGTTAGCCTGGATATGCTGCAAGTCTCTTTTCTAACTTACCTACTTCCCTCAAAAGTAATCAGCAGTCTGTTTCCTTTTAAAGGAATCTCAGTTGACACCTTCCATTTAAACAAATGCAATATCCTTTTTTCGCCCTGATGCTCCAAAAACTTATTTTTTAAAATAGCCTTATCTACAATTACCTACTCCTTTGAGCCCAATTGCTTCATATGCTGACTACACGGTGAAAATCATTCATAGAAGATGCTAGTGGCTGTGCTTTTCATAAAAGTCTACTTTTGAGCAGATTTCTAAAAAGGAATGGAAAAATTAAGCACCTTAGCACCACAATTGTGGGACTCGCCCGTAGGGATATTTTTCCCCAGGTGTGATGGATTCAGACAGAGCTATCCATACTATATTCACCCTAGTGCCCTAAGATACATAGACCACACAGCTGACTGGTGGCAGGGTGCACTCTGTGGCACTGTCACCACGTGAAGCTCCCCAGCCTAGGAGAGGAGGGAGCTAAGGAACTCCAGCCCCAGCTCTGGCTTGTGAGGAACTTCCTACACCCACAAACAAGAGGTAGAAAAGTCAGGGTGTCAGACGACCTAAGAGAAAAACAAAACTACTGCTACTCAAACTGAAGGAGCTGGAGTTCCTCTAGTTCCAGCTTTCGAAACTTTGGGGGGGAGGTCATCCACCTTTTGAGAATCAGATGAAAGCTATAATGCTCTCACCAGGAGAGTAAAATGCACAAACACAATTTCGCCTAGTTTTACAGGGTTCAGAGACCCCTGAAGCCCTTCCATCAATTTCCACAAACCCTCAGGCTCAGGCCCCCCACGTTAAGAATGCCTGCGTTCCTTGGAAACAACCTGAACTCCTGACGCCTTTAGCCATTGCAGTATTTTTCTTAAATAAGACCTCTGTCCTCAGCAACAAGGTTACAGGTCTAATCTGTTGACAGGGTCTATTTTAAATGACTCCCTCTGCCCTTCTGCCACTTGCCTGCTCTGCTTTAACTCCCCCGCCCCCACTGCAAGCTTTCAACAGTTTGCAGCCTCTCCGCTCTCTCTGGGCTTACCCAGAAATGTCAAAGTCTCTCCGTGCCCAGCAGATACAGCCTACAGTAGGCAGGGACCCAAGCTTCCAGTGGAGTCCCAGCCCGATGGGAGGCACAAACCCACAGCGCTTGCACCGCGCGCAGCGCCGTCCCCGCCGCTCCCCCGTTACTCCTGGGCATGTTTCCCGGGAAACTCTGCCCCTCCGGAGTCTCCGTTTTCCTTTCCCCTCTGCTCACACCCAGGCCAACGGCTGCTCCGCCGTCGCCGTGAGGGCGGCGCGCCTGGGGACGTGGGGGGCCCCGGCCCGGTGGAGGAGATCCATGCCACCACCGCGCGGGGCCGGGAGGGAGTGGCGGGGCGGCGACTTCCCTGGGAGTCCTGCCCGCCTGTGTCAGTGGCCGGGCCGGCCGGGCGCGCGTATGTCATTCGGGCGGGAGCTCGGACTCCCGCCGGCTCTCCAAGTTCTCCGAGTGAGTCAGCCCCGGAGCGGACGCGCCCGGACTTGGGGGGCCCGAGCGCGGGTCTCCCAGGCGACGGGACCTCGGGCCGGGGAAGGGTTGGTCCCTAGCCCCGGGCGCCGCGACAGGGGTCCGGGGAGCCAGTGCGTGCGCCCGGCCCCGCCGCACCTACCAGATGAAGTCGGTGCAGTGGCTGCAGAAGGTGGGCTGCTTGAAGAAGCGCGCGATGAACCTGTGGTCCTTCACCTCGTGCACGTTCTTCTGTCTCAGCGCCCCTTTGCGGGCGAAGCGGTTGGCCACGTCCTGAGACGCCGTGGAGTCGTTGGCCGGGAAAACGTCAGCCATGGTCCCCCCCAGCCACCTCTTGCCTCAGCCGGGGAGCGGCGGCCGTGG